TACAGAGGGGTTACAATTGCATGGGCAGGATAATGCGTACATTTCTTACCAAGCATTGCAGCCTCCTCCTTTGTTTACCCTTCACATCCCTTCCCAGGAAGGACTTGCTTTTAACATTAGTGTCTATTTTATGAACTCCAAGTGAAATTTGAGTCTCAAACACAAAGTGCCTTTTGTTCAATGTTGTACTTAATTTAAGAATTTCTCCTATTAGTCATGATGAGATAAATGGTACTAGATTTGCATCTATTCCTCCAAAGATGTAAGACCAGAGGAAATACATAGGTGGGAAAAGTTACCAAGTTCTGGACAACAAGGAAAAGAAGAATCTATTTTTGAGAGTAGAGAAACACAAAAGATGAGTTTACATATTTGTTCAAGTTTTAGGCAGCTCTTTCTCCCACCAATACAGAAACGTAACACAGAAATACAATGGCAAAGTTGCTGAACAAATACAGGGACTGGAGCTAGAGCTGTTGAAAAGGGTAGGATTTGTAGTACAGAGTTAAGGGGAAGATGGAACTAATGGTACAAGGAAGGGAAGAAGCAGTTTTCACCATGAATGCACTTGGCTAAGGTTTGAGTGTGCAGGCAGAGGCTGAAAGTCAAGGAAAGTGTTTCAAAGTGTGGCCTTCAGGAGACTGAACATGGAAGGCAGGTTAAGTTGGTGTTGGGAGCCAACTCTGGATCAACTGGATGCATGGTATCTCCCCAAGCATCATGGGTATTTAATTCATATCTAAGGAAGGGCATGATATGGACATAGCATTCAGGTTCTAGAGCAAAACTGCATTGTAAGACTAAGAAGTGAGATTACTCACTATGAAACAGTGCTAATCAACTGCAAAGGATTGAAAGTTTACATTAGGTATTTGTTTGCTAGAACAAAATTCAATACTCTTTGTTAAAAAAGAATATGGATAGCCTACATAGCACATCATCTACAATATCCAGTGTACAATTAAAAATATACATGGTTGAAAAATCAAGAAAGTGTAAGCCATAGCAAAGAAAATAGTTGATAAAAGCCAGGATATCACCATTTCCAGGGAATAAAAATGAAAACCATCCTTAAGTCCAGTAGAGTCAAGTACAGCAAAAAATAAAAAAGAAAGAAAGAGAGAGAGAGAAAGAAAGAAAGAAAGAAAGGAAGAAAGAGAAAGAAAGAAAGGAAGAAAGAGAAAGAAAATGTAAATTGGTGCTGGTGGCTCATACCTGTAATCCTAGCTACTCAGGAGGCTGAGATCTGAGGATTGTGGTTCAAAGCCAGCCCAGGAGACTCTTATCTCCAATAAACCACCAGAAAACCGAAAGTGGCGCTGTGGCTCAAATGGTAGAGTGCTAGCCTTGAGCTGAAGAGCTGAGGGACAGCACCCAGGCCCAGAGTTCAAGCCCCATGGAAAAAAAAATGTAAATTGGCTATAGAGAAGGAAAAAGATATATATGAGGCATAGGAAAAAAAAGAGGAGCAAAAAGGAAGAGAGAGAAGAGAGGAAGAAAGAAGGAGGGAGAGAGAAGACAGAGAGGCAGCGAGAGGCAGAGAAAGGAAGAGAGAAAGAAGATAGTTTCCAAACGCCTTGTGCTCTAAGAAATACTGAAGAAAGCTCTCTAGGCTAAAGAGGGATGGAATCAGATAGAAATTTTCATCTACCTAAAGAGAGCCTGTGAGTGAACATAAAAGTGACTTTCTTCTCTTAATTTCTTTATAAAACAACCAATTTCCTCTCTTCCTTCCCATTTCATTCTGTTTGTATCTATCCTCTATCTATGCATACAGACATATGCACACGCATGTACACATTGCTTATGAAATTATGACAACTATAAATACAAGAATATAAAAATAGTATAAAAGAATACATAACTGACATTATGCAGTTAAAAAGTGATTTCCTATCTCATGAAGTGGAACAGTGGACTACATTAAGCTAAGAATGCATTTTGCAACCCCTAGAGGATCTAAGACCTTTCATAATAAACTCACCAGCAAGTGTCATTTAAATGTTTATTTTCATATCATTTCTCATTGGCAACCTAAATTTAAGTGCGCAAAAATAACTATAGAATATAAAAATAATTGATTCAAGGTAAACATATATTGGTTATTAGAATAGCTATTGAAAAGATTTTACTAAATATTAGAGATTCCATTCCACCACAGAATGAATACTTTCAGGAACAATTTACCTTGCTACAATTTGATATGTATTTGGATTCAACTCACTAGTTCTTCAAAGAGCTATATTCCACAAATTATAGTCTTCAACTTTATTGACCTCAGTTGGCGACATATCTATATTTATATATTGATTAGTCTGCCATTTTACATGTATTTATTGTTTTGAAACATCATAAAATAATGTCGAATTTTTAAACAAATAAATAAAACAAATAATCAAGTGTGTATTATTTGTTAGGATGCCCCTAGCTTCCTGAATTCAATCCTATTTTAACTAACAGAAATAAGAACATGAAATATGATAACCTTGCAGGCTTTTCTCTTGGCTCAGCTTGTCTTCTGCTTTAAGGGTAACTTGCCCATTAAAGATTCTATTTCTGGACCAGATTTTGATCAGGAAGTAGAGATATTGAGACATAAGACAAGCAATGTATTATATATATATATATAGAGAGAGAGAGAGATTGGGATTCTAAAGTTTGAAATCTAATACTAGGCTTCCAATAATCATCTTCTAGTCATTGTAAAAGGAATAAAAGTAGAAATCACCTACAGTTCAATAATCACAAAGGGATAAATTATAATGAAAAAATCCATAATCACCAAATGGAGAAACGCCTATGAAGATTTGAGGAGCTGGGATGCTCTTGGGAGAGAAAACTGGAAGCTAGTCCGGTTATATGGATATAGAACATACATGAAAAATATCACAGCATCTTGCAAAGGCTTCCTCAGGGCCAGGGGTCACCCTATGCTCAAGCAACAGCCTGACTTCTTTGCCTGAGGGATGATTTTTTTATATCATTCAGAGATCCAAATCATCTTGGAGATGAAAGCAAACATCATTTCTGGTGATGAATACTATTAGGAATATGGCCTAATATTAAAACAGAACTGCAAATAAACTAGAGAAGATACTATGTTCAGAGATGTCTGTGACTCAGTGATTTGATTCTAGCACCTATTGTTCTCTCCCCATTATTTTCAGCTTAGATCTCCTTTAACCCCTCTGTTATCTTTGATTTACTCTTGTTATCTTTCTCCTCCACGAATATGTACATTTTGGAAAGGATTGCATTTCCAAAGGACAATGATTAAGCTGCTGAGATAATGAGACGATGTCCCCAAACATAGGAAGAAGGACATAAAAACACTAACTGTAGGAAAGCGGCAAATGGAAGGAACATGGTCATCAAGATACTCTATGGTTTGGGAGCAAAGGAAATCACTATCCCCAGTTTTCTGACACTGCCTTCATTTTGGGCAATCAGGTCAAATGCTGAGCGAGATCCATAACATGCTGCCACAGAAGTTGATCCGTGTGTGTGTGTGTGTGTGTGTGTGTGTGTGTGTGTGTGTGTGTGTGTGAAGAAAGGCTTAAGTGGAAGATCCTGGTGAAGAGATGCAGGTGGAGTCAGAGAAGGAAAAGTTGATTCTAAGTGAGTCTTGATGTAGAGATGAGGCAGAATTTTGAGAAAACATTTCTAAGATTGTCAATGACAGGCCAGCAGATCCAGTACTTAGGCTGGAATTCCCGCAGAATCTTGATTTGGGGTGGAAAATACTCCACAGAGATCTGACTATTCAAGAGCTTGCACGGCTATTAAGGCAGGAGGACATTTATCTTACTCTTTACCATGGGAAGGGAAGGTTGTTTTCACACGGAAATTGGCTGATTGAGGTGATAATTCTGGCAGGAAAGTACAAGAGGAAATGAAGTTGAGATGGGGAGGAAATAAATACATGGCAATCAGATAATGACATTGGTCAGACAGAGACAGTGGAGGAAGTGAACCATTGGGGAAAAATAAATAAACATTTTTCATGAGGAGAAAAATGACAACTTTTAGGAATAATGAACATGTCTACAGGTTATACTTTTTATTTTTAATCTTTCATTATAAAAATTGATTAGTTTTTCCTGAGCACCTAATGCCAAATGCTGTTTGGAATTATATTTTATATCCTTTTTGGAATATCTACAGATAATCAAAAGAACTTGAGCTGGCCATTGATGGCTCATGCTTATAATCCTAGCTACTCTGGGGGCTGAGACCTGAGGATTACAGTTCGAAGCCAGCCTGGGTAAGAAAGTCTATGAGACTCTTATCTCCAAAAAAGCTGACAGGGGCACTGTGACTCAAGTGGTAGAGCTCTAGCCTTAAGCAAAAGAAGCTCAGGGTCTGGGGCCCAGGCCCAGAGTTCAAGCCCCAGGAACAGAAAAAAAAAGAATAATAATAATGAGAAGAATTTGAAATGTTTTATTGTTATTACCAATGTTACAAAAATGCTTTTCAAAGTAACCGCTACAAAATGAACTTGCAGATAATGTAGCTTACAAAGTCTACTTTCTCATTTTTGTTGTAAGCCAAACAGTCCATATATATCCTTCAATATATTTTTGTACATCTTTTAAATATTAATCCCAAATGATGAATGGCGGGTGTGGAAGGAAGGGAAGGAAGAAAACTTGGTTCATTTGAAAAGAGTTCATTATTTTCACCCTATGATAAATAAGTGCTCGCCTGAAAGAGGTTTTATTGTTTTGAACCACAGGCTTTATATTACCTTAGGAAAAAAAAAAAAAAGAAAGAAAGAAAAGAAAACCACAGCTCTCCTCTGCAAGTTAGATGCTCCTGGCAGCAATACAAATCTAGCACCACCCAGGGAGGGAATGTGTTTGCTTCTTTGCTTACTTCTGTCAGGGTAAAGGAATGCTGGACACCGAGAGACCAGGGAGACTGCAGCTCACAGCACCCCAGTCCCACACCTTCGCTCTCCTCCTTTTGGAACACACAGGTAAGCACTTACCTCCATGGTATTCAATGCAACATCCATGGTAAGCAAGCTTTGAAAGTCAAGTTCATTGCTTTGAATGTTTCCTCAGCTCCTCTGGGAGCTCAAGTTGAACTGGCTTGGGTAGTAAGGCTCTTCCAGAAAAAAATATCTTTCTGGGTTTTATTGTTATTTATATCTTTGTACATTATTTTGCTGCATGTATTCCTACAAATTATGCTTTAAAAAACACTGAAAGAGCAATTGATTATTTGTTTGCTACAAATCCAGGTATTGTTAGTTAGTAATCTGTTATTCTTTCATATTCAAAAACTAAAAGTTGTATAGCAATCTTTGCTGCTGAACAATGAAATGTTATGTTGCTATGTCATACAGACTTTAGTTCTCCATGTCAAGGTTTTAATGGAACACAATGGGATAAAATGCAACTCTAAACAGTAAATTGAATTATTATAGAGAATTTTTTTCTAAAAATATGGCAGCTGTCTTTAAATATAAAAACCAATGTGGTAAATTAGAGTTCCTAGTGCATTTTTATATCCCAAATTCTGCTTCCCCTTAGATGTCAGAAACTGAGCTGGAAAAGATAAAAGTAAGAACAGCTGAACACTTTGAAAATGACAAAAATAACATTTCTTGGCTAAAAGAGGGTAAGTCTTTTTGCTCTTGACTTTTTTTTTGTATCTTGGCATAAAATTGTACATTAGTTGATAAGTAAGAGATAACATGTGGAAAGGAGGGAAATATGCTCCAGGAGTTCAAATGATTTTTGGAACTTCTCATTATCTTTTTATTTTATGCTCATGTGGTCTGAATGTGACTATGTAGAACCCAGGGTATTTGGTGTTGAAGTTCCCTATTTTCTATGTTACAGCAGATTTCTTTATTGGTAAGACTTACTACCCATTTTCAATTCAGCTATATCTTCCCTTTGGAGGTCTTATAACACTGTAGGTATTTCTCCTTTATAAGCCAAGAAGACGAAGTAATTCTGAAGTGAAACCTTTTTAAATGATTATTTAAATGATGTGATTACAGAAAGAAAAGCAGATAATAGGAAAATGATGTCTACAAATAGAATCACCATTCACTGCATTAGAGAAGCCACTTTCCCAGGGGAGAGCCACGTCCGCTAGGGGCAACAGCATGCCTAGGCAGCTGCTTGAAATATACACAGAAATCAATATGTTCTCCTGTGATGAGTACAAATTCGGGCCCTTTTCAAAAATAGGTTTAAATGTGTGATTATCTACTAGAAGGCTTGCTTTTATAATCTTTGGATTTTATGAACACCATTAGTGTCTCTTAAAGGAAACCGATTTGATCTTTTATCTAAATAAGCATGTTGTGACTTTTTTTAGCATGGCAATAATCTTAAATTATAACGAGTATGTATTACAGAAGTACACTTAATATAGGATACAGTGTGACAAATGCATAGTAAAGCCCACCAAAAGCACACGCCAAAACCCTCTTCTATTAGTTTATGTTAATACTTTTTAAATTTTAAAAAAAATGCAAAGTGACTGCTTTTGAGTAATTGAAATCTTTAAAAGTGTTTTGTAAGGTCATAGAAGATTCTAATAGCTAGATCTATGAAAAGTTATATAACTCCCAAATAATAATACTATATTAACAACATTTAGAGTGTTTATTGACAATTATCTATGACTATGCTGAGTCATAATGACAATGTTCTTATCATTAATTTGCCAATGGGAAAATAAAGCCTACAAAGAGTTCAAGCAACTTGCCTAAAATGATAAAAAAAAAAAAAAGGCAGTGGAAGAGTTGGGGTTGAACCACAGATTGTGTAATTCTCATCTCTTGAATTTAATCATTCCCTTACATGTTCCAAAAGAAAAGATAATTCAGTGACTTCTCCGGACACCATCATTGCTAAAGAATTATTTCCCTGCAGTGTTAAGCTTACCACCTCCAAATTCATCATACCATCAGATCCACTCATATTCTTAATCCCATCTTACTTCTACTCTTATTTTTAAAATTTTAATTTAACAAAGTCATTTCTTCTGCCCACTTGCCCAGCAGTTAAATGAAATAGTGAGAACTCATCTCCTTAAAAGATTTTGTTTCAAGATACAAGTAGATACAAAATAAAGTGGTGTCAGAATCATTTCCTTCAAAAAGCTATAGGGCTACACAATCCTCTAACTTCTTTTTTATCAAGAGATATTTTAAGTAGAATCTTCTTAAAACAAGAGAGAAGAAAAAAAGTGAAAGTGAATTAAAGATCCTTCAGTGTTTTCCTTGTTGAAGAGATCTATTTCCTAGAGTGAAGTTTATGTTATTTATTTTTACTTTAATTACTCCATATTGTAGTTTCTAGTGTAGAAATAATGATGAAAGTGATAGACTAATCATTTCCTGAAGAATTTTTTTAAAAAATTATGTCCATTAGGTACAACTTAGGCATTGAATTCTTGTAATCTATAAAATCTAATTTCCCAGGTGACCTGTTTTATCTCATTTGGACACTTCATTTAAGCTACACTCAAATTATGTTTATAATATTTCATAAAAGGAAATTGAGCCAGATGCTAGATGACAACATCTTAATTGGGAATTATCAGGATGAGTTAGTTTCAAACATAAATGTCTTCCATTTTGTGCTGTTAAGAGAAAAGTACATGGGTTGGCTTATAAAAAAATAAAAAGACAAACTGGTATAGCAGATGACCACAGCATGAGCAGCCAGGCAGACATGGTTTTAAATCTCTGCTCAGCTAGATATCAGCTATGTGACTGGAGTATTTACTCCACTTTCTGATGCTTGGAAAATAGGCTACTGGCTTTGTGAGGTTATAAGAATGACTTTCTATTATTTCTGTGTTTCTTTACTTCTTCAAAACATGACTCACGCTAGCAATATTGTTGAAAGCTTAGTTTCTACCTTGGAATGTTTTGATAGGATTTAATGCATTTTTTTTCTTTATTTGGGTCCTTCTAACAACCTGGGGTACAATAGAGCTGTCCTCATCTCACACATGAGAGGATTGAGACTGAGTATTGCCCCTTACAGGATTTGATATGGAAGAGAAACATCAACTAAAGGGATAGGAAGGAGCCGTAAAACCGTTGCCTATTACGGTTCAAAATGACAGCATCACCAGTGTCTGCATTGCACCCAATTGTTCTTCTATAGTATCTCCTGGTTTTCAGAAGAAAGTAGAAATCTGGATTTCTATGTGAAATCTTCCAAATGTTAAAGACTAAGTAACAATCAAACGTAACAATAAAAGAAAGATAGGTCCCATGGTTTCCCTTATTTGCAATA